CTGACTGTCTCACTAAGGAGACCACACTCAGATCTACATTGAGATTACATTCCTATAGCTATTTCAATATAATTTATCACATGCAAATAACTTCCTATAACCCCTTTCCCCTCTGCACACATCCCTTCAGGATGTTTACAGCAATTGAGGTGATGATGAATAAAAATGAGGGGGGAGGGGAAAGCAAGTAAATTGTATTTATGGTTATTAAGCCTTCCTGTTTTAAAAAAATAAGTTTATACAGCTAAGAAGATTAAGATTTTTTTTTTAATTCTGAATTCCATTTCACCTATTTCTAGTAAGACCCTGCAATACACAATGGGTCAAAATTATTACAAGTCAACATCACTGGATGAACAAGGATCATATTTAGCATACTATAAATAGAAAAATAAATAGCATAGATCATGCAAAACAGAAGATAACATTTTCCTGTTCTCCCTCTTGATTAATGGGCAGATAAATAAAGTGGCTATTATCAGATACTATGCATTTTTAGTACACAGAAATCACAGAAACATTTAGGTTGAAAGGGACCTCATGAGATCATCTAGTCCAATCCTCCTGCTCAAACAGGGTCAGCTAGAGCAGGTTGTCCAGGAATGTGTCCAGTCAGGTTTTTAATATTTACAAGGATGGAGATTCTAAATCATACTCCATATCACTGAGCTTTCTATTGTTAGGCATCATCTCAGAAATCTGCTCCCTCAGTAGAGCATCAACAGTATAAACTCATAGTTTCCACTAGTAATAGCAGAAGTTGTGGTTTTTTTAAATCTTTCTAAACTCTGACAGGAGACTACACTACTGTAGAACTGTCACTTAGCCATTAAGGAGTTTTACTGGCTTCTTCGGGTTTTCCCAGATAGAGTTACTAAAAATCACAAATAGGGAAAGACTTCCTACATAGTACAAAACTGGAGTAATTAGTGAAATAAAGAGAAGCAAAGGCATATTGAAGATAAATACGGAACATTAAGAAAATATATACTACTGTAGGGTAGACACATGGGGTAGACAAAGAATAATAAACTGCTCAGTAAAATTCTGCACTTGAGCTCCTATTGAACTCCAAAAAAATCAGCTAGGACCATGTATAGCCACATCATCATCTTTGAAGAGAAAAACCACTGTGCAAAGGCTGGAAGACTGAACTTAATTCTGTACACAGAAGAAAAAGCCTAACAAGTAATAGTACTGCTAGGTCTATAACCAAAACAGTATTTTAACTAATCAGAATATTCTTAAATAGCTAGCTGTGGGGCAGAAAACTTTGCAAGCACAGTTTTACCTGACTGCTCAGGTTGAAGTGCATAATTCGCTGTTATGTTAACAAGACTCATGCAAAAAAATCCATGAGTATCAAGATGAGAACATATTCCATTAAACACCAAAAAGAAAACAGTTGCACACTCAGTAAAATTAGCATCCCATTGGACACAACTTCAACAAGTCATAGAGAGGTCATCTTTGAAGGGGAAATCCTAATGAAATATAAACATGGCATTGTGGAAACCCCAAAAATTTACCATAGCTTTGTTCAGCCACCACTAATCTAGGCATCTGATGTGGAGCATAATCTAAACAAAGGAATCAGTCAGTTCATACACCTGGAAGCTGTCATATTTTGGAGCCTCCTAAAAGTTATCCATAACTGAAATATTCACTTGCATGTAATGAAACCAAGCAAGGGTTCTGAGATGCTGGAATTCTGTTCTGAGGGGATGTTACAGACCCTCGCTCTGAGGAATGCAACATTAATATTAAGGGACAAGTGGTACCCTGTTCTGAGAGCTCTGCCTACGTATGATCTGTACTAATGAAAAGATAACAGAAAGGACAACTTAGTAGTCATGAATTAGATAGAATGGACATCCGGGGAGATAAACGAGCTGAATCAGGGGGGTTTTTTCGCAAGCTCCCAGTACCTAGTCAGGAAAAGTTGAAAAGTTCATGACAAAGAGGAATAAAAGGGACGACCCTCTTGAGGCTGAAGGGCCAGAACGACCACCAGAGGACTCCCCAAAAGGATGACTCCGCCTCAAGCTCTGCCTAAACTCTGCCTATTATGAATATGATAATTAGATTGTGAAATGAAATGAATATGCATGTATAGATGTTGTAATCTCTCATGAAAACTGTATAAATTACCTGACTTTTCACCGAGAACTTCGGAGCTAGCTTGTGCAGCGACAGCTACCTAGTTCCCCAACGTTGCTCAAAATAAATACCTTTGCTACCTAAAGACTCAAAACTGTCTTTGAGCAGTCGTACTGTTTTGGCATCAGTAATATCCTTTAAATTCATTGATCAGTCAAGAACTGCTACATGCATGCACTGTGCATATTACTACCTTTGGACTATCTCTTTCCACAGAAAAAATAAATCATTAAAATACATGGAATCAGGATGAGGAGTTTTCTTCATTGCATTCTCTGTTGAAAGTAAGTTTGAGTGTCTATGGAGTTCACTGTTGTCTGAACTCAGTGTCTACTGAGGAATAATGAGAAAGGAAGGCCCATTCTCTACAGAAGAGTCCACTTAACCATAGGAACTAGCAGACCTCCAACCACTCATCAATACCTCCACATGGCACCACAACTCCAGCAGCAGCCTGCCCTACTGCTTACCTACATTCCCTCTGTTCCTGCTCAACAGCAGTGGCACAAGGAACAAGAAAGTAAAGTGGCTTTCAACTGTTCTACACTGAGGGAACAGCATCAAGCTGTGTCAGGAGGTTTAGATTGGATATTAGGAAAAGGTTCTTCACTGAGAGGGTGGTTGGGCACTGGAACAGGCTCCCCAGAGAAGTGGTTACAGCACCATGCCTGCCAGAGTTCAAGAAGTGTTTGGACAACACTCTCAGGCACATGGTGTGATTTTTGGAGCTGTCCTGTGCAGGGCCAGGAGGTGGACTCGATCCTTGTAGGTCCCTTCCAACTCAGGATATTCTATGATTCTATAGTGACCTCTGTAGGAGATCATGGACTGTCCTGTGTTGTATGCAGCAAGTTCCAACTGCAGGTCAATGGAGGTAACCCTTCCCCTTTATTCAGCACTGGTGAGGCCACACCTAGAGTACTGTGTCCAGTTCTGGGCTCCCCAGTACAAGAGACATGGACATACTGGAGAGAGTTTAGCAAAGGGCCATGAAGATGGGATTGACTGAAGCATCTCACATATGGGGAAAGGCTGAAAGAGATGGGACTGTTCAGTCTAATGTATACAAATACCTGAAGAGAGGGTGCAAAGAACACAGAGCCAGACTCTTTTCAGTGGTGCCCAGTGACAGGACCAGAGGCAATGGGCACAAACTGAAACATATGAGATTCCATCTGAACATAAGAAAACCCTTTTTCACTGTGAGGGTGAAAGCACTGGAACAGGTTGCCTAGTTTGTGGAATCTCCCTTCTTGGAGATATTCAAAAGTCATCTGGACATCATCATGGGCAACTAGCTCCAGGTGGTCCTGTTTGAGCAGGGGGGGTTGGAACATATGACCTGCAGAGATCCCTTCCAACCTCAACAATTCTTTGATTTTTCTTTGAGAATTGTATTTTTACTGCTGGGCCAGTCACATAGGTATTGTCAGCAAGCAGTTTCTTTTATTAAACTGTCAGGAAAAGCAGGTGGCATAAGATAGGACTACCCTTCCTAGTAAGTGAACCCCAATAATATCAGGATAATAAACCTCAGGGACAAGAGCATTATTTATCAAACACTTATAAAAAAGCAGACACAAAAAAGTAAGAGCAAAAATTGACAAAAGAAACTACCACAACAATCTCACAAGGAATTAAGAAAAAAATGTTGAGGAAAAAAGAATGTTCACAACTGTTTACGTTAGTAATTAAGGTGCGCAGCACCTAATGACCAGAACAGATTCTGAATGTACATCTCTGCCTATGGGTGGGATCCTCAACACACACATACAGAGGTATTTACTAACGATTACTTATGCAGTTTTATGTATTAACTCTTATAAGCAAAATTCTGCTGCAAGGTACTTTGACATAAATCCAGAGTCACTACCACTGTTGACAAAATCAGTCTGGTTTTACATCAACACAATTAAAGAGGGAATCTGATGCTAAATAAATAATATTTTCTCCCTGAAAACAAAAAGTGACAACCTGGAGTCATGCCTCTCGGACTAGAGCAACCCTGAGCAGACCCCCGGACAGGAGGACAGTGATGCTGACTGCCTCCAGGCCCTCAAGGGAAGCCACCCCTCCACATTCCCTGGCCTGCATGCTGGGGTAGGGCTATTTCTAAAGGAACCACACAAACCTCCAGCCTCCAAATACAATTTCTTCTCCTTAACCAAAGCAATCTTCCTACACTGGGGCTTACCAACACAAAGGCAACATGGGTGAACCTCTTGGCTGGTTTTGGAAAACATCTTCCACTCTGGCCTAGGGCAGTGTCCACAGCTACCCCACACCTGGCTGCCCAGCCACAGCCTCTGGGCCAGCCAGGCCAGGCTTCACTTCAGCAGTCGTCTTTTTCTTTTTTTTTCCTTTTTAACCTTGAGACAAACATTTCTCCCCTACAACTGAAAGCTGTCTAAAAAAACAGAACCACACACACAGGCACCCATGTCTCTAGGCTGTGCTCCTCATGGCCTGCCACTGTCCTGCAGCCTTCTGAGTGGTGAAGTGGTATCTGTCAACCAGAGCCATGTGCCCTGCTGTCCACCCCTTCCCAACCTATATGCACTCTCTCATGTTCACCAGCCTCACAGAGCCCCACAAAACACCACAGCATTGGGCATAGACAGTGCTCTGTAGGCTTCCCCTCCACCAGCCCAGTGCCCAGTCAGCAGACACTCCTCAGCATGAAGAAGGCCTATTATATACATATGTATACACACACACACACACATACATGCACACATTCTTAAAGTCTCTGACACTCAAGCTCTTTTCATCCAGTTCCTGAGGTGAAAGGGGCAATGTGGGGAGGGATGGCATCAGAAAAAAGGGGATCTTGAACTTACCTTCCACCCACAGCTCCTCCACATTGGTTTCAAGATTTGCTGCCCTTAATCCTACAGCGAAAGCCCCAAATATGAGAAGGCCAACAACCAAAAACTTTCCACAGTTTTTTTGAATGTAACAGCCCAGTTTAAATAACAGTCTCTGAAACTTTGCTCTCAGCCACAGTGGTGCTTTTCTTCCAGTAGCTTTCCCCTACAAGGCAAGGAAAGGTTAGTAGTTAAGAGGTTGGGGCAGACACTAACACAGGCAAGGCACATTTATTCCAAGAGAACATATGGGGAAAGCCCCCCTCCAACCACTAACAGATGCAGAACAGTTATTTATACATAAATGCTCATATCCTCACAGTGTCCCTTGGAGTAAGGACAATAATGCTGTCCTTCATGAAGGGCCTTCACCCCATGGATGAGCTGAGCAGCTTGCAATCACCATTAAGTATTCCTGTAGGCCAAGATTTGTACCTGCTGGTAACCATCCTATTACTAAACCACCACACAAGTTTGGGATTCCATCACTGTTGAAAACCTGTATAAATGAGACAGCGTGTGTGTCCATCACTATCTTGCACTCAAGTCACCACTACCAGTTTAGGTTGCAACACATTCGTGCTGGCAAGATTCATGGCTCTAGGGGAGAAATAACCTATGTCAATGAATCTCAACAGGCATGTCAATAAAAAAAAAGTCCCCTTTCCCATTCTCATTAGACCTCTAAAGGGCTGATGGTGGGGAGGGATGTCAACAGTGAAGGAAAACTACTTTGTAGGAATTTGCTGGCATTTCTCCTATTCCCAGCCCTTAGCACAACTTTGTAGTAAATGCATTATCCACGTGGTGAGCAGTGCTATAAGATCATAAGAAATTAATTTCCATAGTCTGGAGACACTGTGTGATCTTAATTAGGAAGCAGAGCAGCCATCTGTAAATTACAACAATATTTGTGAACGGAAGAGGGCAGCCACATAGATTTATTTTGCCTTTCCCCTTTTTACAAAGCCCAGAAATTTGCTACACAAAATGAAATGCTCTTTGCAGAAAGGCATCGTTTCTCGAGGTTGTTTATTTTGAACATTTTTTTGGTTCGCATAGGTTAGCGGTTGGGACCGTTCCCCTTCCCCTCCCCGAGTAGGGCTTCCAGCGCACTCCTGCACCTCCGGCGTTTCCACGCTAACAATAAAGCCAGTGAGCCGGGAGGACTCACTACAACCTGCACAGAAGATTTAAGGTAGCAATTTATTTACAACTTTCACTTTTCCTCCGAACGCTGAGGGAAACGTTACAAACTTTTTCTGCTATGAGAACCCCTCTCTGAGGGTTGTCGTGTTTCCAGCACTCGGTGGAGAACTTTGTAAAAGCACAACTTTTTGCCAAGAAAGCAGCCGCTCATTTTCTCCCCTTTTCCGGTTAGAGATCGGTGTTAATGAAGTTGCAGAGTGCTACGAAGTGATAGAGAGAAGCAAAGGAAGCGGAAAGGGGAGAGGAAAAGCGAGAACGGGCCACAAACTTTCCGGAAGGCCGGGAGGGAGGTGAAACTGCCTCTGGGAAATTTAACTAGAGGAGTGCTCCTCCGCACAAACACACACCAGGCAAAGCATATGCAAGAAGGAAGGGAAGGAGAGCACTCTCGCACTAGAGTCACAGACATCTCTCTCTTTTTCCCAGCATTTTATTGGTCGCTGTTTCATTTCCATCTCTTCCTTGCACCCCCCACGAGAAAACACCTCCCCCGTAATAATAGTACTAGCGCGTATCTACATTTCTAAACAATGCCTGAGAGACTGAATGCACCTTTGAGATCTGCTCCAAGGCGAAAGCCGCATCACAGTAGCTTGGTCGCTGCAGATACTCCCGATCGAGTGCCGCGGAGCGCTGGTTCGCTCCGGTCCTTCGCCGCCTCCCGCTATCGCTACTCGCCGCCCGGCCGGGGTGGCCGCCGCCCACGGCACTGCTGCTCGTCTCTGGCTCCAATACGTTAACGGCTGAGGCCATGTTGCTGCCGCTGCCAGAGGGGCCCGTGGGGAGCTGGCGGCGCTGCAGACCGCGGGATGCTGCTGCTGTTGCTGCCGCCGCCGTCGCTGCGCGGCTGCTTCACGCGGGGCTTTGGGCCATGGCTGCCACCGCGGCCGCTCCTGACCAGTCTCACCCTGCACCTCCCATTGCCACATCGCGTGCGGTCCCCAAGGTGCTGGCGGCTACTCCCCGCACCCAGGGAGAGTGGGCGGGCAAGCACGACTCCCCTCCCCCGCCCCAGCTGCCGCCGCGCTTGCCTCCGCTCCCGTTAAAACCGCTTCTTCCGGCCGTTGCTGCCTCCAGGAAGCTGCTGTCCGCGGCGGCACTCAGCGGCGGCGGCGGCGTAGCAGCAACATGGCGGGTTGCGGGTGCTGTTGACCTGTCTCGCCGCGGTGCACCATACTGCCTCAGCGCCAGGGCGCTACCCGCCAGCCGCGGGGCCGGCGAGACTCCGCTGTCTGGCCGGCAGCGAGGGGCAGGCTGCTGCCTGGCGGTCTTCCTCGGCGTATGTGCGGCAGGATGAAGCTGGAGCCCCACAGCTTAAAAGATGAGGTGAAGAAGAAAAAAAGGACTCTCTCCATTTGGATAAAAAGGACGAGGGGTGGAAGGGGAGGAGAGAGAAAGAGAGAGGGAGGGAAAAAAGAGCTGAAAGCCCGCCCCCGGGGCTGTCAGATGGCTTGGGTTTCTACGGGATGGATTGGCTGGAGGAGGGTAGAAATTATTCAGCAAACATGTCTATTATTAGCTGCTTAGCAACAGCTCACCAAAGTAGAAAGACCACCCAGACAGGCAGCCCTTGTGTGTGCATCGCCAGTTTCAGGGGGAGCCTTAAAGAGATACAGCCTTCTTTGCATGCAATGCTTCCATTAAGGAATGTCTCCCTTCCTTTCTTCTTCATTTTCTTTTCAAGATTTTTTTTTTCTTTCGAGATGCTTTTAGACAAACACATGCGCAGAACTTTCTCGCGATCCATAAATATTTTTCTTCTTTTAAAAAAGAGGGGGGAAACGGGAGGAAAGTGGCATTTCTAAAGCCCTTAAAAGAAAATCCTTTTAGGGACAACTTGGCCTCAAGCTGCAACAAATACTGGGAGTTCCAAGCTGATTTCCTAGGGTTGCAAAAATAATGACGGTGGTGAATACTGCGGTAGGAAGTATCAAATTTTTCTTGATTCAAAGAAATCCTCAAACAAACTATATAAAGCACACTTTTATTACAACCAGAGAGATGCAGGGGGGTTTCGCCCCCCCGTGCATGTCCGCTGAGAAAAGAAACACAACAACTTTTTATACGGTGAGTTTCAAAAATTATCTATCATATACACTCTTTATGAAGTCTGCCTCAATTTGGCATCATATTAAAAGCTGCATCCTGCAATCCTCTGAAGAATCCTTAGGGTTCTCCCTCAAGAAGAACAAAGACTGGTTTGATGAAAACAATCAAGAAATCCAGGAATTGTTGAGGAAGAAGAGAACTGCCCACCAAGCACACCTTGCACTGCCATCCTGTCCCGCAAGAAAAGCAGCCTTTCGTCTTGCATGCAGCAAACTCCAACAGAAACTCCGTGACATCCAGAACAAGTGGTGGACCGATCTAGCTGCAAAAACTCAACTTTGTGCAGATACAGGGGATCACAAAGGATTCTATGAGGCCCTGAAAACAGCATACGGGCCTACATACCAAGTCCATAGCCCACTACTCAGTGCAGATGGTCAAACGCTTCTGACAGATAAAACCTCCATTCTGAATCGATGGTCTGAACACTTTCAGACTCTTTTCAGTACCAACCGTGTAGTCCAAGACTCAGCAATTCAGTCCATCACACAACGACCGGTGAAATACGAATTGGATACTGCCCCCTCTTTAGGAGAAACCCTCAAGGCCATACAGCAGGTGAAAATTGGCAAGGCAGCTGGGGTTGATGGAATTCCACCTGAAATCTGGAAACATGGGGGCCTAGCACTCCATGCTAAATTTCATGAGTTTGTGGTGCGCTGTTGGGAACTAGGCGAACTACCTTCAGACCTTCGTGATGCAGTCATCATCACCTTGTATAAGAAGAAAGGTACTAAATCAGACTGCTCAAATTACCGTGGTATTACTCTGCTCTCCATTGCTGGCAAAATCTTGGCAAGAATACTCCTGAACAGACTAATACCCGCTATAGCAGAAGAAATTCTACCTGAATCTCAGTGTGGCTTCAGAGCCAACAGGAGCACCACAGACATGATATTTGTTCTCAGACAACTGCAAGAGAAGTGTAGGGAACAGAACAAAGGTCTCTATGTAACCTTTGTCGACCTCACCAAGGCTTTCGATACTGTGAGCAGAAAAGGTCTTTGGCAGATTTTGGAACGTTTAGGTTGTCCCCCCAAGTTCCTTAAAATGATCATCTCACTCCATGAGGATCAGCACGGCCAAGTCAGATATGGCAACACACTTTCTGAGCCCTTTTTAATAAAGAATGGTGTGAAACAAGGCTGCGTTCTCGCTCCTACCTTATTCACAGTCTTTTTCAGCATGATACTCCAAAGGGCCACGGCAGACCTCGATGATCAGGACGGTATCTACATTTGATATCGTACTGATGGAAGCCTATTCAACCTAAGGCGACTGAAGGCCCACACTAAGACCCTAAACCATCTTGTCCGGGAGCTACTTTATGCTGATGACGCTGCCCTTGTTGCCCACACAGAAGCAGCCCTGCAGCGTTTAACATCCTGCTTTGCAGATGCTGCTGAGCTCTTTGGGCTGGAAGTCAGCTTAAAGAAGACTGAAGTTCTCCATCAACCTGCACCTCAGGAAGTCCTCCATCATCCCCACATCACCATCGGCCAGTCAGAACTCAAATCAGTCCAACAGTTTAATTACTTAGGCAGCCTCATCTCCTCAGATGGTAAGATTGACGGGGAGATAGATAACAGGTTAGCGAAGGCATATAGTGCTTTTGGAAAACTCCATAAAAGAGTCTGGCGTAATAAACATTTGAAGAAAAGTACCAAGATCAGTGTTTACAGAGCCATAGTGCTGTCTACTCTTTTATATGGTTCCGAATCATGGGTCATCTACCGCCACCACCTGCGTCTCCTAGAACGCTTCCATCAACGCTGCCTCCGTACAATCCTGAACATCCACTGGTCAGATTATGTGACCAATACATCTGTTCTTGAACAGGCAGCAATCACAAGTATTGAGGCCATGCTACTGAGAACGCAACTGCGATGGGCAGGGCACGTCTCCAGGATGAAGGACCACCGCCTCCCTAAGATCCTGCTTTATGGTGAACTTGCCTCCGGCTGCCGCAAGAGAGGAGCTCCGAAGAAAAGATACAAGGACTCCCTGAAGCAACAACTCAGCCTCGGGCATATTGATCACCATAACTGGTCTACTCTGACCTCTAATCGGGAGGCCTGGAGACAGTCCATTTATAACGCTGCTGATGCTTTTGAGAAAGCACGCAGGATCACCCTTGAGGAGAAAAGACAACGCAGAAAGAATCGAGCCTTGCAGAATATACCGTCTAAGGAGTCTTTCTGCTGTGTCTTTTGCAACCGGACTTGCCTTTCTCGTATTGGCCTTTTTAGCCACCAACGCGCTTGCAAGAAACGTGGGTAGAGCCCTTCCCAAATCTTCGTTCGCGAAGCCTAGCCATGATGATGATGATGATGAAGTCTGCCTTATCTGAATAGACATTTGGTTGCCTAACTCCTATTATTATTATAGAGTAGTTACATAAAGTTTTGTCATTTCAAACAGATTAGGTTCCCCCTCCCTCTTCTGTCTCCCTTGCAATGCTACATGCTAAAGTCTTTCCTGCTTTCCCTGACAGTCCCTTCGTTTACGTAATCTAGCTTTATCTTAATTGCCCACAATTTGGGCAGCAACCTTCTTGCAAGCAGTTACAATTTTGCAAAGTCACACTAACATAGCTGAATTTTTATTTTATTTTGTCTTGTCTTTATTTCAATTCCCCCCTTTTCTTTTAACTAATGCGAATTCTTTTGCATCACCCTTTGTACAGTCCAGAGCACATGTACTTGTTGCGCTGTAGTCTTAATTCTCCACCACATCCATAGATTGATGATTGTAAGAAGGAAAGCTGCCAGTATCAAAACCAAGAGCGGGTGAACCAGGAAGTTAAACAGCTGGGCTGAAGTGGGTGATTGTATATTGGTTGTTCCCAGAAATATGTTCCACCAATGATGTTCTCCAGTCTTTGCCACTTAGGTAATGATGTTTTTAATCTCTGCCGTGTCATGTTTCACTTGCCACAGCATGAGACGTGAAGTAGCATTTCCCTTTTCCATCATTTGTTCCACATCCGGATGATAGAGCATTTTCTGGAGGATATTAATGTTCATGCCTATTTGTAGTTTAGGCACTTCATGATATTAAATATATTTATCCGAGATCAATTGCATGGTGGTCTCAGGAGCAGTGTAACTAAAGTCACATCCTATTATTTTAGTAAAATTGCAAACACAGAAGTTAGTACCATTGGTTGATGCTTCACAATCATCAATAGTTACATTTGTGCAAGGTGTCCTGATGCATGCACATCCTTTGCTTACGTATTATACTTGGGACTGTGCCTGTGTATTTGGGAACATTTCAAAGGTACATACACTATCTTCTGTATCTAAACATAAATCCTCCTTTGCTACAGCATTTTCACATACATATCCTAGTTGTTCTGTGGGTATACAGGCTTCTGTGCTGATAGTTTGCTATCTCCCTATGTCCCTGTCATAGGTTGCCCAGACATTATGTCCCATGGGTCTAACTACTATGTCCCGGTGTATTGCCCCTAATGCTAAGACAGGAAATATGGCCCATTTTTTTGCCTCCCGGATGGTAAGAGCATATGCCTCTCTCTGCTCCTGCTTTGAGTTATATGTGAAGTTTACTAATTGCCACCATGCCTGATGTTCTTTCTCAAATTTGGTTGTGGTGTCATTTCTGGATATGATCTCTCTTATTTCTT